ATTAGAACTATTCAAATTCTTGCAATGTCTTTCTCTTCCTTCTTTGTCAAATTTATAAGAAAGAACTCTTGCTGTACTGAAGAGATGTCATTCCTGTTTTTTTTTCTTCTTCTTCCTAATTTCCTTTGTCCAGACATGTGAAGTCATCTGATCCCCTTCAAAAGGCTCTTTGGTAATTGCTCAATAAGCTACAGCCTACGTGAGGATACATGTAGTGATTCAGCCTCATCGAGCTCAACAAAACGTCAGGATAGAGGATATTTGTGTAACATTCTTTGAGGAGACTTGTTTCCAACAGTTTTAATGAGACAGATTCACTATCGATGGGGTGATGTCAACGCGGGGGGATGCACAAACTTTAAAACTGCCCGCTGCCCAGGACCCGGCAAAGGGAGGAGATATGCACACTCTGATTAGCTAAGCAACACAAGTACTACCTCCTCCCATCTCATCTCACACTCAGAGCAAACCACCAACAAACCAACTACCACTACCCAAAACCAAGCCAGCACACAGGATACTCTCTGCAAGAACAAAACACATCTCTCGAGTAACGTAACACGATGGCCTCCCGAAAGAAAGTGCTCCTCAAAGTTATCATCCTTGGTGATTCAGGAGTCGGCAAGACTTCCTTAATGAACCAATACGTCAACAAACGATTCTCAACTCAATACAAGGTACACCGTCTCTCTTTCCTCCCATCCTTTCTTCCTTGATTGAACTGAATTATGTCTAATGATAATGATCCCCTCCTTCTGTGATATACAACAGGCTACAATCGGGGCGGATTTCTTGACCAAAGAGGTGTACATCGAATCCAATGACTCTACCACTCAACCTTCTTCAACCAACCCTCAACAAGCACCCTCTAGTTCCGTTGTCTCCACTAACACAAATAATGGCTCTGATCGTGTGGTCACCATGCAAGTCAGTATATATCTAGTAATTGTACACATAAAAATAAAGGAGCCTCAATCAACAAACAACTGACATGAATTCTTAATATCCAACGTTTTACTGTTTCTTTCGGTTGAAATCGTACACATCTGCGTCATGTACATGACTTGCAATCTGTCACCTGAAAAAAAAAAACCCTCGGGATTTTCGTCAAGGACGGTAGCTATGGGATACGGCAGGCCAAGAAAGATTCCAATCCCTTGGAGTAGCCTTCTATCGTGGAGCGGATTGCTGTGTATTAGTGTTCGATGTCAATAGTTCCAAAAGCTTCGAAACTCTCGATAGTTGGAGGGATGAATTTCTGATCCAGGTTTGCACCCTTTTTCTCTTCTCAATCAGAGATGACTGATTCAACAGACTTTGATTGCTTATATGTGGATTCATTGATGTCTAGGCTTCTCCTCGTGATCCTGATAACTTTCCTTTCGTCGTCTTGGGTAATAAAATCGATGTTGAAGAAAATAAAAGACAGGTCAGTTAACACCCATCCACTAACAAAAAAAAACTCAACAAAGTCAATAGAAATGTAAAAATGAAATATTAAATATCAAATCATGACCATTTACTAAAAAAACTTCCTTATTTTCCTTACATCCATCATCGACATTCAATACATTATTTATAAAAACTTAATGAGGATTGAAAAAAACAAATATAGGTATCACAAAAGCGAGCGATGAGTTGGTGTCAATCGAAAGGAAACATCCCATACTTTGAGACCTCAGCAAAAGAGTCCATCAATGTCGAACAATCGTTTATCGCGGCCTGTCGAAATGCATTAAGTGTCGGAGACTCGATGGATGATGGGTCAGCAGTTCACACTTTCTTTTCCTTATCACCAACTTGATTTTCTTTACCAAAACCTTACTTTTTTGGAATGAATGAATGAATGAATGGGTTTTTATCAGTTTCGCCGATTATCCTGATCCGATTATGTTGAATTCCGAGGGCCAACAGAGTTATGGATGTGGATGTTAAGAAGCAGAACTAAAAAAAAGAGTGAGTGGGTGAAGGGGGAAGAAGGAAGGTTGGACGGACGACCCGGTCTGGAGCCTGTTTGTGTGTGGCTTGGCTTGTCACTTCTTCGCGCTCGCGCTCTTTCCTTGTTTTGTCTTTTGTCTCTTAACCATGAACTGAATGCCAACCAACCATCTCTCGAACTACCAATTCCTTCAAATTTTTTTTCTTTCTCCTCACAAACATCTTCCTCTTTCCTAATTTTCTTTTTCTCACTCTGCTTCTTATTACATATAACCGACAAATAATAATCTTTGTTTTCATTTGGTGACTACTGTTTGTTGATCTGCTTGTGATTGTGAATTCGATTTTGTGCACACATTTGTCCTGAAAAAAAATACATCACTTCTGGTCACAGATTTTTTTATTCTTGTTATCTCTCATTGCCTATGTTCTTTACAATCTCCATTCACATAAATGCATACATACATTACACATATTTGGTCAATTTGGATTGTCTTTTTTTTCCTTCCCTCTTTTTGTGGTCTTTTGTGTGATAGCTTTTTATGGTTTTGTTTGCCCATCTACATAATTAAGAGCTATCAAAGAGTTAAGGTTCTAAGGAAACAACCACCCGGGATCCAAAGAAACCCCTGAAATTTTGATGTTCCTCCCAGCGTCTCCAACGATGCAGCTGAACGAACCAGAGCTAATGATGGGGGGCTATAAGGAAGATTCAGCTGCGCCCATCATCTCCTTTTATCATATGCCTCCACTGTATAAGATTTGTGTGATTTTCATTAATATCCCAGGTCGCACATCATCCATTGGAGCTGTACATAGTGTGTAGATCAGTTCCTGACATTATTCAAATGGTTCAGTGTCTTGCAGCCGCAGAATTTTTGTTCAAGTAATATTTGAGCTGAGTATTTCAATGGGACTCACCAGAGAAGCAAGCAGTCCTTCTTGAGTGTGTATTCCCACACATCACCATTACATCCTCACTCTTTCCAATCACCCACATCTGGCTTGGACATCACAAACCCCCAGAGAAATGTGAGTAGTGGCTAAAATTGGCTATCAATGGATGAATGGTTCTGCCATGTAGCTCCCGTCTCCCTAATATCTGAATCACAACCCACAGGAGCTCCTTAGACAGTGACTTTCCATCAATAAATCCAACAAATTGTGATTGTGGCCACACTGAAAATTCCAGCCAGAGCAGCACTTGACATCAAAAAGCCTTGCAAACAATTCTTGATTCAAATAACCAGGCAAGGGCATTTAATAAGCTGGTTCCCAGCCCTTCCATCAACTGAAAAAGGTCCAATATAATTTCCTCTGATCATTTGACTTCAAGCAATGGTGCCAAACAATAGTCAGACAATGCCCAAAAAACTACTCCCTCTTCCCTCAAGCAATGGTGCCAAACAAGAGTCAGGAAATTCCAAAAAAAATACTCCCTCTTCCCTCCTTCGGTAACTTCACCCTCCCCCCCCTGTGTTGATTCTCATGATCATTAAGTCTCAATTCTTTTGTTATACACCAAATTTTTAAATCAATGCCATGCATAATTGCATTCCAAAGGAAAGAAGTTGTGATTATTGTTAAAAGTTTAATTCTAAGAACACTGGAATCTGGATAAGACAAAACTCCTACTCTTTTTTGGCCTAAAGCTTTCAATTCACCTGCCTGGGGCTTGATCACCCCCCCCCCCCCCATTGTACACACACTCCCACAATCCCCTGAAAAGGAGAGTGTGTAAAATGGGAGTGTTTGTCAGCATGTCAGCTGAAATCAACATGCCTGCACATGCTGATTGGTGTGCATCCAAGCACAACTCTTTTCAGATCCTTTCATGTCTGCACACTAGCAGGAGTGCCTTAAAGGTGTGCAGGACATCATCTGGTGTCATGCACACCTGATGGTATGCAGACATGCACATCTCTGAAAAGAGGCATGCTAGACCACACACCAATCAGAATGTGCAGGTGTGCTGATTACAACTGGTGTGCGGCCAAGCACTCCTCTTTTCAGGGGAGTGTGGGCTCACACTCCCCTAGAAAAGGGGATTTTTGGAATTTGTGAAAAATCAGGGGGGGGGGGGAGTGTGATTATCACTCCTTCACTTCCAGAAATTCAGCATTCTTCTGATGAACAATCTGAAAACTCACCGGAGCATCTCATGCATTTGAAAAAGTGGCAGAGAAAGCTAGTTCTGACTCTAGCCATATCACATATTCTCCCCATCTGGTCTTCTAGCCTGTTCTTTGTAAAACCTCACTATTCTATGATTGTCTTTGCTCTTGAAGGCTCATTTGTATACTTTGTGGAATGCAACTATAATCAAATGCCTCCACGCACAATGTAACTCCTAATCTGCTTCTAAAAGTGTGTAATCACTGTCCCTCTTCAAGCACTTGGCTCAACCAGATGTTATCTCATCCAATTCCTGTTGTTCTCATAAATACAGTGGACAACTGTGAGGCCCTCTCCTCTGTTGGGTTTCACAAACACATGTCACAGATGATTATGTAAGATCTACAAGTTGTAGTTAGTTAGAAGGTGTTTCCATTTTCCTAGACAGCACAGACTGTCTCTCTTCCATCTAGGTGAGTTCCTTGGTTCTTGGTTTTTTCTCTCTCTCAGATCTAGATTAGTAGGTGCAAAGACCTGACAAGAGACTGTCTCTCTTCCGTCTGTTAGGTATCAAACTTAAGGTTGTATTTCTTGGTTAGTAAGATATCAACAAAATACAAGAAAACAAAGAAGATGATAAAGAAGATAGAATGAAAATGTACCTTAAGGCAGGAGCAACAGTACAAGGACACAACAACGACAAAGGAAGAATATAAACAAAAAGAGCACAACTAATGATAAAGAATGTCAGGAGAGGTGACAGTCTAGTCGACAGTCCAAAGAGATGAGATGAAAACCTTCCGTTGATAAGAAGACTTGAGAATCAGCGGAAGCACTTGTATTGGTGGAATGTCGAGTAGAAGGGAAGAGTGCTTGCTTTTAAGGATGTGACCGATGACCGGATAAGGGATTGATATCAAAAGGATGTTAAAAGAGATCCAAAGATATGAGGATAAGATAGAAGTCGTTCGGTGTAATGTTAAGAGAATGGTAGTGAGAGTGAGATAGAAGTTGTTTGATGTAATGTTAAGAGAACAGTAGATAGAAGTCGTTCGATGTAATGTTAAGAGGACAACAGCAATGAGACCAGAGATTTAAGAATAAAGTGTTAAGAAGTGGATGTAGATGTTTTGTGTTTCTGGAATCATGGGGAGGAAGAAACTGGTTTGGCAAAAAGAGATATATAGAGGAGACGAATAAGGCCAAGTGAGTCAAAACGAGGAAATGATGTCATTGTAAAGTTGAATGATTACATAATCAGTCATGTTGGAGAAAACGCTACTAGAGTCTAAGAGGGATGAGATCAGATCTCAACACCGTCTAGCTTGATTGCAATAAAGCCTCCCAGAGTTTGGTTCTAGAAATCTTTGGTTTAGAACCTGTTCCAAGCCTTCTCAGCAAAAAGACCAGTGAAGAGTAACAATCTCTTACAACAACTACTATAACATGTAAATGCTAATGGATTCTTACTTGCCACATATATTCTTCCAATGAATACTGCCAACTCACCATGCACAATTTTCTGTGCAGAGTCACTATTGTTTTCCCTTCTTGCCTAAAAAAAAAGCTACATGTGATATTTTTACACCTCCCGATTCTGTTTTCTCATTCAAGCAAAGGTGGGCCGCTACACTCACTGTAGCGGTTAGTGTAGCGTAACACAGAAGAATTCCTGTTAGTGTTAAGTGTAGTGTGTATTGAAGTGACTGCGCGTCCCTCAACTTTAGCATACTCATTACCTGCAGCCCAGTAGTGATATTCATAGTTTGAAACCTAGATGAAACCTAATTGTAATTAGTTAAAATCCAACCGCGTCTCCACTAGTTGTATTTTCTCATTCATCAAGGTCTCATTTCATTTCACTACTTCTTCAGGTGTGCTTGCGTGTCTTTCTATCTCCTCTCAGGTGGTTCTGGTTGTTAACCACACCGTCTTGGATCTATAAAGGTGTGATTGTGTCTTTGCTTAGAAGTAATTCCATTCATCAAGGTCTCATTTCATTTCACTACTTCTTCAAGTGTGCTCGCGTGTCTTTCTATCTCCTCTCAGGTGGTTCTGGTTGTTAAACCACACCATCTCGGATCTATAAAGTTCCCCTTCAGAAACTAGTGTTTCTATAGTGTGGCGGAATTCCGCCACAACACCGCTAAAGCTACGTGTGTGGGCCGCAAAAACGTGCCCACTACGCTGCACTACAGCGCTTTCTAGCGGTTTTTGGCTGTTGTAGTGCAGCGTAGCGTAGCAAAAAACCACTAAAAATAAGCTAACACTACAGTTTTTTGATGCAAAAAAAGCTTGGGCCAAAAGCGTAGCAGCCCACTGCTGATTCAAGTCCAAAACAGTTGACTTCCAGTGGAATATAGAAAGAATTAATACACAGGAAAGCATAACCCCCCCACCCTCAAACCTAGTACATAACAAAGTACACAAACCAATTTTGTTTTTGTAAGTAATCACATACCATGCATTTATGATCATATCAATCTATGCCCTTTCTTATTGATTTAAAAAAGTTTGAAGTCTTCCTTAAAAGTGTACCAAACATGCACAATCAAAAATTTGTAAACAGTAAATTTTTAGGAAATGTCAAATCCAATCAGCAACCACTCTATGTAGTTGAAGTGAATGAACTTGGATGTGGTGATTTTCCAAGTCAATTTTTTGGGAGGGGGGGATAAATTGGGGTAATTGCTTTTCATTAATCTGTGTGTATTGATTATAAAAGGATAGTCATGAGTTTGGTATGTGTATTGATTATCAAAGGACAGTCATGAGTCTGGTTCACAAAAAGACCATTCATAATGACCATTGTCTTGGTTAAACAATACCAACAACCCAAAGAAGAGGAGGAAGTGAAACTCACTGATTCAAATTAATTTTGAATATTTCATGAGCAATATGCTTGATCCACCCCGCCCCACCCACATGACCTCCTTTTGATTCATTTATCCTTATTCATCAAAATCAATCTCTCATGAAAAAAAAGCTTGTGCTGTGTTTGCCAGCATTGTGTGCAATCAGAAAATGTGTGAAATCCACTGAAATTCTGTCAGATTTTGCAGGTATTTCACATGATCACACTGCTACATTGTGCTAACAAATAGAGCCTTGATACCTGAAAATCTTGATAAGGTCTAAAGCTCATCATGATTTATGAAAAGCAAATTCATGCAACACCTACTTGGATTCAATTTTACAATCATCAGATTGATGCATTCAGTAGGGGGGTTCATGATACCTTCTCGTAAGAAGTGATTTCTTCTTGTGCAAGAAACCACAGCACTGCTGCAGGCTTAAAATTTAGTGTGGAACTTAAAATTTTGCTGAGAAAATTGATGTCAGCAATGCACAAGCAAGAAAAAAAAACAGGTGCAAGAAGCAAAAAACAGTCGTGAACCCCGCTAGCAGGTACATTTGTGACACATCATAGCCATGTGTATTGCTCTTTTTCGGTGAGCCAGTCAGAACAGTCTTACATATTCTCTCTCTGTCTCTACATTTCTGCAATCTTTTTGTTTATGCACACCAAACACACTAAACACAAAAGAATTACACCTTCATTTTTATAAGTCAATTTCAGACACACTGTTAACATTGCTACATCCCAAAAACCAAAAAAGACTGCTTTTTAAATATATACATAAATATATATAGATCATACTTGAAAAGAAGAAAGAAAAAAAGAATCTATAATCTGTATTAAATCAAATCAACAAACAGAAAAAAAAAATGATGGAAACAGAAAACCAGTCGAAGATTTTAATTAGCTTTAACACGAGAAGAGTTTTGATGATGCAAAGTTGGGAGATGTTCATCTTGATGATGATGGTGGTGATGATGAGACAATTGAGTGTTATTACTACCACGATTGGTGGCAGCAGTAGTTGAAGAAGACGAAGGTACAGATGTCATAGACGACGGTTTCTTGTCGGAGGGAGTAAGCGCAACAGTCGTTGTTGCTGTAGATGTAGGAGTGGACGAAGTAGAAAACTGTTTGGAGTTAGAAAGCATAGCCTTATTATTATTAGCTTTGGCTTTCTTTTTCCCTTTTGGAGAAGGATTAGGAAGTTCAGGATGATGAACAGCAGAAGTCGAAGACAGATCAGGCGGCGGTTTATTAGAGGCCTTATGAGGATGCTCAGGAAGAGCCGACTTATCCGAGTTCTGAGTCACCTTTTTGTCTTTTGGATGGGGTCGTTGAGGCAGGGGAGTAATGGTAGAATTACCGGAGGAGGTGGGATGAGTCGGGCGATTAGAAGACGAGCCAGTCTTATTTCTTGTAGAAGCAGCTGATTTTTTAGGACGAGAGTTAGCCTGAGGGAGCTGTTGTTGTTGTTGGAGTCTAAGACTTTCCTCCTCGAACCATTTCAAGAATTGTTCCTCCTGTTTCTTCTCCATCAATCGCCGATTTTCTTCTTCCTGAATCTCCGCCAACTTAGGCTTCTGTTTCCCAGGGCCATATAAGGCCCAACTCTCCTTGGCTTGAAGCTCTTGGATCGTCGAGAAGTTTGTTGTCGTCGTCTGGCTCGAATTGCTTGTGTTCTTCCTGGCCATTGTTTGGTTGGTCCCAGACGTGTTTTCGATCCCATGACTTCCACCGAGGGTCAGAGTATGTTCCTCAAATTTGTTCTCATATTGAGAGCCAAGAACTGGGTTTGATGACGAATCTAGTGGACTAGCGGAAGTCCCAGGGAACACGAACTGTGTAGACGTGGAGACATAGTTGGTCCATGGGGTGTCTTGACCGGCCAAGGCGCGACGGAAAGTGTTACTAGCTCCGATTCCATTGACAGCTCGTGTAGGAGTGATCACGGACGCGCCAATGGCCGAGGCCGGGTCATTCGGCTCCGGATTCCTCGGGACGACAGCTCCCTGGACTCGGCCCACAAGGGGCCCAGTCGCTTGAACATTTTTTATTAGCCCAACCGGTGGCTGGGACGAGCTGGGTGAACATGAGAGAGATGGATTGCTCATCAGGGACGGCAATCCTTGTCCACCAGGTCCTGCAATCTTCCGATCACTGCTACCACCGCTCATAGACCTCCAGGCAGGGGCCTTGCTCGGGATGCTCTGAGCAGCTGATGTCGATGATGAGTCTGGTTTGGATTTAGATGCTTCCGCTGACTGTCGTCTCTTTTCACGTTGAGAGAGTTTTTGGTTGGGCGTCAGATCAGATGGCAATCGAAGGGATGGGAGAGTGTCTAGCTGGGAATTGGATGGCCCGAACGACCCGCGTTGTTTGCTCGAAGATGTCACCATCCTCAGATCGATCGGTGTCACCTTCTTGACCGGAGCGGCCCATGCCGAACTGTCATGAGGGGCGGATGAGTGGCCCAATTTCATTTTACCAACTGCTTTGGTCGTCGAGTGAACCGCACCGTCAAGTTCATCCATCACAAATGGCGCATCGTCGTCCATGGTCTCATGTACAGACTCCAAAGTCCTTGAAGGAGTCCCATTCATTCCTGGGCCGGAGTCGATTGCACTTGTATCTGGATGAGTGGCTTGATTCCTTCCAACAGGATCAGGCGGTGGGCTAAAGCTTGGTTGAAATGAACTGCCAGTTATCAGCTGATGAGGGTCGATTGCAACCGATCCCCTCGAGATCCTTTTGTCGAAAGTTATATCAAGATCTGGAAGAGCTTGAGAGCTTTGATGGGTCAATGATTTATGAAAGGATTTCCAATGACGTGTCGTCAAAACCAATTTAGATTTAGGCAGATCCAAATCAATTAAGAACTGTGAATTATCAGCCATCAATTCCTCAATGATCCGAGTCGATCGAGAAATCGGGAATTTATCGGTCTGAACTCGCTTCAAATACGAAGAGATTGATCCGAGTAAGTCATTTGGGATCTTGATCAATCCTTTATCCTCAAAAAGTGCTTCCAGGTTGTAAATCATGTAATTCATGCATGTCTCTTTCAACGAATCCGCGCGATAAAATTCGGCTTCAGACGCAATAGCAGTCACATTAGACAGATTGACTGTGTGAATATATCAGAATAAGGGAGGGGTACAAAGCGTTAAGCGGATCAGAACAGCTTGTTACGATGTAGGAAATGATATAAGAATGAACAGCGTACCACAACGTCTGAGTACCACACTGCAGATATACTTGAGCTTGTCCATCATCAACTCATTTGCTACCGACATGACATCAAAGACAAAGTCGATATAGTCATTCAACGAAAGAAAATCTTGATATCAAGGAGGTCAAGGATCCCGATCAGCGTCCAGAGAAATCACAAGGCTAGTTGGAGATAACCGGGAGGACCTCACATACCTTTGGCAAGGAACAAATCATCAGCCTCGTCGGTATAGATATGTCTCAGGACGACCTGCATGACTTTCTTCGACAGATGGCCCATGTCGATCCTGATCAAATTGCTGTTTCCCGTCACCTTGGCTCGTCTCCGACCGGTCACCCAGACCTCCTGGTCATACATCAACCGGAAGAACGGACATTGAGCGCGCATCAAGATTGAGTGACAGGTGAGAATCTCTCCATCTTTGAGCTCCAGTTCCATGTCTGGATTCAAGTTACTGGATTGAAAATTGGGGATGAAATCATGATCAGGGTCAACTTGGGGGTTCGCTTGACTATCATCATGAGCTTCGGATGATGAGTTCGACAAGCCTAGGGTGGGTAAGATCATCCGGAAGTGGTTGGAAAGGAGAGGCTTAGGGGTCGCCTTTCCAAGTCGCATAAGAGAAAGCTCCAGGGCAGGAAAACCGAGGCTTCGGGCAAGGCTCTTGAGGCCTTCTTTAGCTTCGTTGAGTTGATGTATGATCGCATGTTTAGGCTTCCCTGAAGAACGAGTATTGGAAAGAAACTCTTGGTGTGCGTGTTCGATCTGTGGCCACACCCGATTGTCCCAGATAGTAGGAAAAGTGTCTGTGTAAATATAATGAGTGAAGAGTAATAAAGTTAAAAGCATATGTTGGTCGAAGCGTAGCGTAGGCAGTCTCAAGGATCCCTGTTCAGCATCATCATCATCTTCCCCAGTCTCGCCCGGATGGTAACTGATACCATCGACATGAGTGAGATTGTTGAGGATTTGGTCCAAGATTAGCGATCTTGAACATAAGATGAACCGATGTACCAAGATCTTTTCTCCAGAGTTAGCGACCAAGAAGATATCACCACTATCCAAGGTAGGATGATCGTCACTCCAGTTCAAGGATAAGCCAAATAGTGCCGAACCGACTCGAGAATCCCAAACCAGATCCTCCCGATCTTCTTCTTCCTCGATGACATCTTCATCCGCATCCAAATGGACTTCCGAGCTGGGTGAAGTAGATCCGGAGCGAAAATGGCCACTCGTGGAGAGATCGGATGGCATCTTGGACGTAAGTATAGCTGAAGGAACTGTGTGAAGTTCTGGCACTGAGCTGGCATACTTCTTGAGATGAGGAAGCATGCTGGCGAGCCTTGAAGCGAGTGTGATTTTCTCCTCGGGTAAGCTTTGTTGGATCTCCCTCAATTGAACGTCCATCCGGATCGCCGCATAAGAGCCCGTCGGGTTGGCAGCGACACGAGAAACTCGCTGGAGATATTGGACCCTTTGGAACTTGTAATTTTTCTTCGGATGACTAATCACAGATGGCTCGGTAGAGCGAGTATCTAAACTTTTGAGGGGGGCATTGACGGCTGATCGCCTGTAACTGATGTAAACATGTCCCGACATCGTAGTGATGATCACATCTCCATCCAGCCCCACGGCGACATGTTTGGCAGCAGTAGTCGATCTAGTTGAGCACCATATCCGCCTGGGTTTGAATGCAGGACCTGTGGGGGTCGTCGAGATGTTGGATCGGTGGGGACTAGAGGACATGTTAACATAGTTGATAGGATTTTCCAATGGATTAGGATTTTCCAAGTCAACTATGTAGACGTCGCCCATGCTAGAGACTGCGGCCAAAGTTTGATCAGAACTGTCGAGTTGTAGGATCCGTGTGGCTGGGGTATGTCCTTGATGAGTGCTGGGCATTCCAGAAACTTGGATATCGGATGGAAATCGGTCGAATGGAAAGACGACTCTAATTGTGACTTCGGCCTTCAAGACGTACACCTCACTAGAGTTTTCGCACAGATAGGCAGTTTCATAGCTGGTACAACTTAGTTGGATGATTGATGTATGAGCAATTGCTACCTTTCTAGGCGTGATTTGGATCGAGGCTAATGAGTTGAGAGAATGAGGGTTGTGGTAGCCCAGTTGGCCTCGATTGGCTCCCCAGGTGAAGAGTGAATCTGAGCTGAAAACAGCAGTATGCCAGCGTGAGGCAGCCGCACCTATCACATCCACCTTCTTCAGCAAGCCAAGGACTCGTTTCGGCTCGACTTGAATCATATTCTCGATCGAGGCTCCTGCAGATTCGGGGCCATAACCTAGTTGACCGAACCGGTTCATCCCAAAGGTGTAGACCTGTCCTGGATTTGTGATGACGACGGTGTGATCTTGACCTAAGGCAACAAATTTGACTTTTTGCTGGGCCAAGCCGCCTCGTTTGACGGGAGCAAATGTGAATTGAGTCTCGGCCGAGATCCCGGCAGTAGGACGCTGATCTTGAGCATTGCTTTTTGAGCTCGTCGACAAGCCTAATCTTCCACCAGATCCGAATCCACATACCCGTAATTCACCTTCTGAGGTGATGAGGGCAGTATGGAGTCGACCAATGGCGACAAAATTCAAAGGATTGGAGATGAAATGATTGCTTGATGAGATGGGGTCGAGCTGAGAAGATGAGCTGATAGACCGTTTGAGATGAATCCGTTCGGGATGATGTCGATCTCCATCGTCATGAATACCCAGGACGAAGTTTCGGTTGGAACCCCAAGTAAACAGATCTGTGTGCGGCTGCTGATTTTCTGCTTGTGATGGTTTTGAACTGATCCAGTTTATTGAACCATCAATCGTCGAGTGGTACAAGTCGAACGCTGACAATCCTGCAAGTTCCAAAGACAAACGGGGTCAGATGAGTTGACAAGTGCAAGAAGAAAAAGGTTGAAGCTCACCTTCATGATCTTTTGTATTCAGGTCACATTCCAACTGGTCAATCAAAACTTTTGCGAATCTTAGGTTGCCATGGTAGAGTGCCCGATGGAGTGGAGTCCAACCGGATTCGAGGTCGGGAATGTTAAGTTGGAGGAGGTGGTTTTGAGCCAGGAGTTCAAGCCATTCTATGGAATCTGATTCGTTTCTTGAGGCAGCAAGCTTGTGGAGGAGTGTCCTGCCTGATTGGTCTTTCCTATTGATGGTGGAGCTGATCAGTGAGGTCTTCTTGCAGGTAGTCTCGATGGTATTCAGGAATCTTCGTAGACAGTTGATATCCCCAGATTGATAGACATCATGTATGTTGATATCGAGGATAAGGCCATTGTTGGATTGGTTTGGTTTCATATACACTTTATCAGTTGTCCTTCCTCCTGCTGGTTGCTTGGTTCTTGCTTCGAATGATGATCAAGTTGGTTGATGGTCAAGAGGAGTCCGAGTGAGTCTAGACACATATGATCCGATCGGATCAGGTCTCGCGCATACATCCAGGGCAGAAACTAGTTAAATCCGGATACAAAACATCTATGTATACACAGCCAGACACAGCCCCAATTCACCACCCAAGGTCAAAGAAGCAACCACATCTGATTGTTTCAAAAAAGATGGCCAACATCGATCGTAAGTCAATCAACAATAACTAAATCACCAACTCATCAAGTACTAACATCAAAAAAAAAAAACATTACCATAGTCCTGTGCATCATCAACGAAGAACGCAAGAAATTCGGTCTCAGAGACTCAGACTACCATCGATATAGGTCAGTGAAGATTTAACGATCTTGCAATAGGATTCAAATCGAATGCTGATATGAATTGGAATGATTCAAAGGATTCATTGTACACACAAGCTGAAAACTCTTAGAAAATCGACTGGCTTGCAACAAACTTATAACCAGAAGACTAAACAGTTTGATAAACGATCAGTAGACAGTCTCGATGGAACCAATGATCTCAATCTCAAGTCAGTCAAATCCCTTTTATGTTAGCAAAATCAGTAAAAAAAATTGGAAACTCCACTAATTTCTCCCCCTCCCTACAATTCGATTCAGATACTTCTTAATCAATTTATTTCAAGTCGAACATGCTTGGGCATCATCAAGAGAGTTGAAGGAGCAAGTCCAATCGATCTTAAAGAAGGCCAACCAACAGAAATCTGATCAGTCCACCGCTAAAACCGGCGCGAGTAGGGTCCGACATCATGCCAACAACCGACTGACCAAAGCCATCCAACACTCCGATCGATTCCTCGACTTGTGTCATTCATCGGATTCTCTTTCGATCAGAACTTTAGCACAGCTCCACGTTCACCGATTATATATGAGAGGACTGCTAGAATTTGAACTGGCCCGATGGGACTCGGCTCTGGATCATTTCGGACTCTCCTGTCAGATCCTGAAGGCCTTAGCTAACTCCACCGTCGACCAAACCGAGCACAAGAAACGGGCGGTCTTCGACGAAGCCAGCGATGAATTAGCGCCCATGATCCGCTACTGTGCCTATAAAACTGACACCAATGCTGCTCTCGAAATCGATACCTTCTGTCAACAAAGACTCGAGCAAAATCCGATCGGTGATAAGTTGGTAGGAAAGGATTGGCAGGAAATCGAAAGTTTGATCGAATCCTCTAAGCAAATCATCCAAGAAACTATCGAATTGAAATGGCTAGATCAATTGATTCCGATCCGGAATCCAGAACTGGTTGAGTTGATCACCAGTGTCCAAAGCGCCGATCGAGTCTTACTCTCCAACCTCAACCCATCTCCATCCAACTCAGCCGATCCGTCCCAATCTGAGGGACATCTTAATAAAAAACAGAAACGACAGAAATTCTTGCAAGCCAAAAATCCGAAGATGAACCAGAGGGTCATCAATCCGACGGCCGCATTTGACAAGGCATTATCCACCTATGTGAATGTCGAGAGCGGGTTACAGACTCTCATCGAGTCCAACAATCGTGCCTTAGAATTAAATTCGACCATCCAACGATTCGACCAACAGTCGATGGTGCTTGGGACGATCCATAGTATCGTCGGCTTTCGATTACTCTCGACTAGAGTCAATCGTGATCTCCAATTGGTCCAGAAACTCGAGACGAAGTGGCACAAATTGGAGCCCAGAGTCTCGCGTCGAATCCATCGAAATCCAAAGAATTATCATCAAATCAATCGACTAGTCTTGGCTAAGAATAAACAATCTACTCCGAAAACTGGCTCAAAATTCAATCATCACCGTCCTTCTGTCCACTCTTATGAAACCGAGCTTATCAAATCCTTGCTTATCAAACGTCGTCAAGCTAAACTGTTCCCTTCTTTGCTCAAATTATTCGACGATATCCTCTTCAATCTTGAGCGGATTAAACAACTCAAAGTGATCGAAGACGATGCCGAACTATCATTGAAAATTGAAACCAAGGTTTCGTTTTTCAAAGCTTATAGGTAAACTTCTTGTTTTCTATGTTTGCTTTTATTCAGGTTTACAAGACTAATGTATTTTTGTTTATTCTTTTATTGTTCTTTAGGAGTTTAATTCAATCTAAGTCTTATTTATTAGTCGAAAAGTTCTTAGAGAGTTACGTGCTACAACAAAAGTCGAATTACTATCTCCGACAGACCCAAATGAATTTGGAAGAAACAAGTCAAGAAGAAGAAGAGGAAGATATGAAGTCATCGGATCGACACATCAGCGACTTAAACCGGGAGTTTTTGAAGTTTGACTGCAAAAGATTTGAAGGCGATAAGCAGCGAAGTCCAAAGGACGAATGAGCCGAGAGATTGAGGAAGAATGGTGGACTTCTAGACAGTCGAAGAAGAAGACGAAGAAAGAGGACTCAACGAAGGTGGGAGAGACGGAAGAAGGGGAAAAGGAAGAGGATGATGGGTTAGGACGGACAAAGCTGGAGAAGTTGAGGTTGGATGAGCCTCAAGGTCAGATATCTGGTGGACCTGAGAAAATGGAGACTCAAGTCTTCGATCTTGCGTTCAATTACGTCACCCAGTTCGATTGGCATCATCTTCATCCAAACCCTAGCTCGACTCGAGCTTCTATATCAACAACTCAACAGACGTCCAAGTCTGGCTCGCTTCTTCCCGCTTCTTCTGCTACCGGACTTGCCTCTTCTCCTGCTTCTCAACCAGCTCGCGTCGACTCTTCTCACACACTTGAGCCTGAAAGCCCCCCTCCTCCTCCTCCTAAAAAATCTGGCGGCTTGTGGAGCTTCTTTTCCCGCTCTTAGCTCGATTTATCTCTTTGATTTTTCCTTCCCTTATCACATCACGTCACACACACACCACTTCTTTCTCTTCAAAAATTAACTTTTCTTTTTGAGAAATTTTTAATCTCCCATTTTATTCATTCTCTTGAAAATCAAAATCGAAAAAAAAAAATCACATATTGCTTTCATTCATTCTCTTGAAAATCAAAATCGAAAAAGAAAAACAGATCACATATTGCTTTCTCTCGTCTTTTTTTTATCTTCTCCAATATAAATATATATCGCCTCTGTTGAACAGACAAAGAGCTCACATTCTGCTAGCCAGATTCCAGATGTCTGCTGGTGGAAGCTTGATATCTGAATATCTTCGGACACACAGAGGCCGGATCGGGCACCGATTCTGCCGCAAATTGACCCTTGCACGGCAAAGCCTTGGGGATCATGACCTGGTTATTCTCGATGACCGTGAGCTTGCAGTCCGCGCGAGGTAAATTTCATGAGGCCCTCTCTGAGATTGATGCTTCTTCCTGCGTTGGACAATCCTCTGGGCAGCATCGACCCGGTAAAGTTTGCCGGATGCCTACATAGCATAGTCACCTGATATGGGATACATAGAACTGAAAAACTTCTCTTGCGCCTTCAATTTAAAGCACCAGCCTGCGGAGGTCCGCGGTGTTAATAAGATTGGAAACATAAAGCTGCAAATCAGTCGTGGGGAGACGTGCCTCGCTTGCGTAGTGGCAATCTCATCTCACTTTAAGGCCCCGCTGCGTTGAACATTCCATCCCTTTAACAAACTTGTCACGGAGTTCAATTCCTGTAAACCACCACTGCAACAACAATTCGCGTCTGCTCTCCCCCGACGATGCCAGGTGTACGCACAATTGCCCGGTCCGCCTTCGTGTGCGCCCTACTCCTGAAGTCCTTCTTGGTCGCTCCAGGGATTCCAGGACCCCCGTATGATCCGAACCTATATACCGACCGGTGCCAGCGATGCTGGGTGGAAGCCGGCAGCCCGCCAGAGTTTATCAACACCATGTACAAGACCAACACATTCAATTCCTTTCCTTGTAGTGCTTTCAGTCATGTGTACACCTGTCTCGAGAGAGTTGGGCTCCAAGGTTACTACTGCGTAAGATGTCGTCACTTCTTGAATGTCAGTCTGGGAGCGTGCTCCATCCACGGCCAGTTCACACAATGCACCCCAGACCCACGACGGCCACAGCAAGGTGGCACCACCTAAGCTCCTCGTCCAGCTGCACTCTGATGCGCCGAGGGCACAATCAAAGGGGAAACAAGCACATACACTCATATGTTACACATTTCCCCCGCGGGAATCATTTTTCTAGTTTTTAACTACTTGGTCGGATGAGCGGAGAGATCGAGGAATAATGGTCGGTTTCTAGGCAGTTGAAAAAGAAGGAGATATGAGTTGACGAGGATGGAAGAGATGCAAGAAGAGGAAGAAGAAGAGGAGGATGGTTGGAGGAGCTGAGGCTTCTCCCCGCTTCTTCGCGGGCTACCAGATCTGCTTCTTCTACTGCTCCTCAACCACATTACGTCGACTCTCCTGAGACACATGTTCCTCCTCCTCCTAAAAAATCTGGTGGCTTGTGGAGCTTCTTTTCTCGTTGTTCTTAGGACGATTTATCTCTTTGATTTTTCCTTGCCTTCCCGTATCACGCACACACACTTGAGTCCCCGCCTCCATCAAAGGTGTTGCCTTGGAAACAGGTTGGTGATCACCATATTTACCCATCCACCCAACATGCCTGAACCCAGCATACATCAACAGCTCACCCCGCTACTTTCTTTCTCTTCAAAAAAGAACTTTTTCCTTTTTACAATTAATGGGTTTACAATCTCTGATTTTATTCATTCTCTTGACCCCCCCCCCAAAAAAAAAAAAAAAAAACAGAAAAAGCCATATTGTTTTCTCTCTTCTTCTTTCTTTTTTTTTTCTCAAAGTGTATAACATTATCACATCACCTTTGTTAAAAAGACAAAGGGCTGTCATTCGGCAAGCCAGAATCCAGGTGTCTGATCAGGTGAAGTGGCAGTCATGATAGATCTTCCGAAGTGGCAGTCATGATAGATCTTCCCTTGCAAGGATGATAAAGCACCTGAGTTAACTCAAAAATAAACAAGAATTTTTTTCAAGGTTCCGATCTTGGCTTGACTCCAGGTTCCTCATCCTTGACATGCGGCCTTTGCGGTTGGCTTCATAGGTTAGGTCCCCAGTTGCATAACAGCACTGAGGAAGTCATTATATCATATCGTTTTCCATTTCCTTGCAAGTTGCTTGAGCAATGTGACAAACAAATGAAGTGACAATGACAAATCCAAGATCACAATCTCAGACTGCATTATGGCAGGTCTACCTTGCTTTGTAATCAATCAAATGTGCAACAAACCAATAAGCACCATTCTGTAGTCTGTTTTCACAAATTTTGTTGTGTCAAATGTTCTTTGGGAAATGCATGACAGCTTAAAAAAGACTTGTGAAATTCCTCACAAAGGGAGCTGGTTCAGCCCTATGAGGCAACAGAAAGGCTATAAAACCCAGTCTTTGCCCCCCCTGAGATTTCACCCCCCATCACATCACATCACATCACATCACATCACATCACATCACATCACATCACATCACATCACATCACATCACATCACATCACATCACATCACATCACATCACATCACATCACATCACATCACATCACATCACATCACATCACATCACATCACATCACATCACATCACATCACATCACATCACATCACATCACATCACATCACATCACATCACATCACATCACATCACATCACATCTTCCCCCAGTCTAACTTCCACATCAAATTCCTTCCACCCTTCCCTAAATTACCTGCATGGACCAGCAAGTCTAGTCATTGGACCTGCCCTTTCAATAAGAGGTTATGATAGTTTGTCAGAGAAAATGAGCCTATCTGGTGATGTTGGTCAGCTATGTCTGAGGAACGCTTGAAATGGCCAGTCTGCATACTCATTGTACTTGCTGGTCCAAGCATACAGTGCCAGCCATGGTGGGCTGCTACACCAAGCTACACTACAGGGCCACTTAGAATTGGTGTAGCAGCGCTAGCAGTGGCCCTTTTTTGTGTAGTGCTAGCACCCCACTACTGCCACTGTGCTGCACTGACGGTGTCAGTTTTTTTGTGTAGTGTTAGCACACCACTATGCTGTGTTACGCTAGGCTAGAGCAACTCTAGCTTCTAGCAGAAAAAATTCTAAAAAGTGCTCTAGCACATTGTAATGGGCGCATATTTGCACCCTGTGCCTGTAGCATTAGCACAATTCCACAAATTTGCACTAACACTACATTAAATTTTAGCCCATTTTTGCACCTTGTGCATGTAGCATTGGTTCAGATTGGTGGATTTGTGATTTTAAAATTTTCCATCATGAACCCTGCTATTACTGTAAATCTAAAACAGAAAATAAAATACTCACAAAAAAGGCATTAGGGGGTATCAAATATAGGAAATCCACCATCAGAAACCAGTCACTTTTCCAAAAAAAAATTTTTGAATAAATTGTGCCTCAAAAGGGGTTAAATGGATAACCAACATGTTTAAAAAAGGGTGGATTTTTTCAAACCAGTCAATTAAATAATTGTGGATTTGGTTATATTTGATACCCCCTATTGATCAGAAAGAAAGAATAAAGAAAAGATATGCACCACCAGGATGTAAAAGAAATAGACAAGACAGCTATAGCAGAGTAAACACAGAAAAAAAGAGCACACAGGAACTAGAGAAGAGAATAAGTTGTAAAGAGTTGGTCAGTTGAACAAAGAAAGATGAGTCAGAGTCTTGATGAGGTTGTGTATTTCTCACTAAATTGACTTGGACCAATGTGTAAAAGGATTTGAGGAGAGATGAGTGACAAGGTTGAAGAGAAGGAGGAAATCAGAACAGTGTGGTGATGAGAGAAGTGGATAGAATTGGTGATTTAGGGAGGTTGAGTGAGAGAATTTTTGAGGAGGTTTTTGCTGATGGTAGTAGTTTTGCTGTGTGGGTTCAACCAAGGATCACTAAGGAAATCTGATTTAGCTTCAGATAGACTTTTGGCAAGGAAGAGTGGATGAAATTAGGCTGAGTTGAGAGAGTGTGTCATAGATTTAGGGTTACAGTTTGACAAGGACAAGTTGAAACTTGAATATGAGGATTAAGATGTTGCTGGGATGTTCAGTATTTAGTTTAAGTGACACTTGACCATCTTGCAATAGCAAGGAACTTAACTGATCCAAGAGCCTAGGGGGAACTCTTGAAGCTTTAAAGCACAATTTCATGACTAAAATGAACTGTGATGAGAATAAAGGAACAAAACCATGAGGTTGGTGTATGTGAAACCCTCCTTTTGAAGAAAAAAACCCCCTAATACCCGGCTGCCAGCAATGGGCCACTCAAAGGCCCACTAATGTTAGCATAGCATCCCTCAAACCATCACACCAACCCTGTAGTGCTATCAGGCTGTTAGTCTTACTATGCTTTGTTTCACTACATTGTATCTTTGAACCCTTATCTTCTTATACACCATATCAACATTGTAGTGGGAACCAAGCTTGAATTGTTATTCCATTTTACACAAAAACATGCACCAAGATTCCAGGGGCACATCCACCCCTGATTTACCCAATCCCAACAGTAGAGGATTGATCAAAATTGTGGAGGCCCTTTTTGAGATACATATTATCAAATCCTGGCCACCTATTTTTTCTGACCAAGATTTTCTGCTAATCAAATCAAGTCAAACTACAAAAAACTAGCATGGTATAAAATTGTGGATTAGCCAGTCCCATAAGGTGAACATTATTGTGCTATTCTTCAGTTCAATATGATCTCAAATTTCTGTTGCATGTCAGAATAACAATCCCCCCCCCCCCAAAAAAAGGGGGGTTAAATTTTGGTTGTTCTTGAATTGTTTTGTACTTTGTGCTGAGATGGATCATCTCTTTTGTATATTCCTATCATTGAAACATACACTTAAGATTGATTCATGAAGGAAGAGAGAAACAAAACCAGAAACCAAAAGAAGCTGATGTTTTTTGTTTTTTACTTTGAGGCTGCGTTAATATTCCGCATAATGACACAAAGTTTTTTTTAGCAGGGAATGATTTTTTTCACCCTAAGTGGATAGAGTTGGATCAGAGTTAGAAGAAGAGATTTTTTGGCGCCAAGGAATGGCAGAAGGATGACAATGAGTGAGAGGTAAAGGAGTATGAGAAGGTAATTTAATCCAATCTGAGTATGGTTTCAGTTCTTTCCCATATCTAAGCTCATGGATCTCTACGAAAATTTCAATTCCACATCCAAAAAAACATTAGTTTTTTTTTTTTTGAAAAGCTTAGAGAAGCAAGAGAGATAGGACAAACGTATTTGGTCTTGATAGATTGAACTAATAGCTTGAGCATTGCGTTTATGCCATTGACTGATCCAGGCCATAACACCCGCGGGTTTAAGGCCGATTTGGGAACTGAATCGACGTAATGAGAACCCAGGTCAACCCAGGATGTTGGAATTCTCTTTCAAGTTGATTGGCCTGGTTTGCTCAAATAACATGATTGTGCAACAGTGCTTTCCTGACCCTTCTGCTGGATGTGGCCCTATGTATCTGACTTCTTCTTCTGATTCTTTCATCGTCTTCAATTCCAAATCTTCATTTGTTGTTGCTGAAATCAACACATTCACTCTGACATTTTCATTTTTTTGAATAATGGATATCGAAAATCATCTTAGCATGTTTGTCTGCTCTGTACATTATCTTTCATGCAATGACTTACCTAAGCCAATGCAGGAAAGTAGTGAATGAATGGTTTTGAGGGTCAGGTACATCTGCAGATGAAGATGTGAATGAGGATGCACATGAAGAAAAGAGTCAGTTTTGGCATTACAGCCATGAAGTTTGACTGCAAAGATTTGAAGGTGATAAGCAGCAAAGTCCAAGGACGAATGAGCCAAGAGATTGAGGAAGAATGGTGGACTTTTAGACAGTCAAAGAAGAAGACAAAGAAAGAGGAGTCAACAAAGGTGGGAGAGATGGAATAAGGGGAAAAGGAAGAGGATGATGGGCTAGGACGGACAAAGCTGGAGAAGTTGAGTTTGGATGAGCCTCAAGGTCAGATATCTGGTGGAGCCAAGAAAATGGATACTCAAGTCTTTGATCTTGAGTTCAATTATGTCACCCAGTTCAATTGGCATCATCTTCATCCAAACCGTAGCTCGATGGTGCTCGACTCAAGCTTCTATATCAACAACTCAACAGACATCCAAGTCTGGCTCACTTCTTCCCGCTTCTTCTGCTATACCACCGGGTCACTTCTTGTGATCAGTGTTGGTAGAGCCAACGTAGAGGTGGCTGACCGTTTGGGCGACTCAGAATCAACAATGGGGTTGAAGGAAGAATTGGACAAGGGCCCAGCCAACAGAGCCCATCCATTACCGTTTGCCCAACCATCCTTGGGTTGAACCCTGGGTGTCACAACCGACATCCTTGGTTGGGCAAACATTTGGGTCAGAGGTTGATGGTTGGCGGAGGTTGAACCAACCACCGGTCACTCCATTAGCCCAACGTTGAACCAAGAAGGTTGGGGAGACTTGGACCAACTGGCTCCAGTCAGGCTGGAACTGAAACTCTCTATCAACGTTGCCATCTTATTGGGCCAAGCGGGGGAGTGTTTTTTTGCCATGAAAAAGTACCCTCATCGTGGGTGAATCATTGTGATTCTTCCAGAAAACTTGATCTATGAAGACAAAAAAAAACTTGAAAGACTTGAACAAAAAAATATCCTTGTCCCGGATCAAAGTTGAGAACTGTATTCACTTGGTTGGCAACATACAAAAAGCAATGTTGCTGAATGGTATTACCTTGTTGCTCAATCAAGCGATGCGATTCGGATGACATGTGGTATTGACCTGGGTTCAAGCCTGATGGTGATTCTTTTTACAGTATGCCAAAGTGCCACCAACGTTGGGCCAACTGTGACCAACAGTGGCTGACACCAAGGGACCACACTGGCCCAAGTCTTGAGTTGGAGGATGGTTGGGCATCTAGTGGGTGATCACTGGTCAATGGTTAGATCATCAACCATGCAGCTTTTGCATGACAACCTTAACCTCAAGCCTCAACGTTGGTCACCAAGCCAAATCACATGGTTGGTCAAACCTTGAGCCCTTGGTTGAGTAACCGTTTGGGTGGCCCGGTGGTGTAGCCTATTCACCTAAGTCTAATATGGGATAGAGCTGAAAAATTCTCTTGCACCTGCAATTCAAAGCACCAGCCTGTGGAGGTCCGCGGTGTTAATGAGATTGGAAACATAAAGCTGCAAATAAGTCATGGGGAGACGTGCCTCGCTTGCGTAGTGGCAATCTCATCTCACTTCAAGGCCCCACTGCGTTGAACATTCCATCCCATTACAAACTTGTCACAGAGTTCAATTCCTGATAACCACCACTACAACAAAAATCCGCATCTGCTCTCCCCGACAATGCCAGGTCTACGCACAATTGCCCGGTCCGCCTTTGTGTGCGCCCTTCTCCTGAAGACCTTCTTGGTTGCTGTAGGGATTCCAGGAGCGCTGTATGATCCGGACCTTTATACCGACCGGTGCCAGAAATGCTGGGTGGCAGCCGGCAGCCGGCCAGCGTTTATAAACACCATGCAAAAGCTCTCCACACTCCCTTCCTTTCCTTGTAGCGCTTTCAGTCATGTGTACACCTGTTTTGAGACAGTTGGGCTGCAAGGTTACTACTGCGGAAGATGTCATCACTACGTGAATGTCAGTCTGAGAGCGTGCCCCAACCACGGCCAGTTCACACAATACATCCCAGACCCACAATGGACAGAGCAAGGTGGCACCGCCTAAGCTCCTCATCCAGCTACACTCTGATGGTCTGAGGGCACAATCAAAGGGGAAACAAGCACATACACTCATATGTTACACATTTCCCCCGCGGGAATCATTTTTCTAGTTTTTGACAACTCGGTCGCATGAGCGGAGAGATTGAGGAATACTGGTTGGTTTCTAGGCAGTTGAAAAAGAAGGAGATGAAATATGAGTTGACGGGGATGGAAGAGATGGAAGAAGAGGAAGAGGAAGAGGAGGATGATTGGAGGAGCTGAGGCTTCTCCCCGCTTCTTCGGCTACCGGATCTGCTTCTTCTGCTTGTCAGCCTGGGTGATGCAAAGAGCTTAACTCTTCTAGCTACACCAGGTGCAAAGCTAAGAAAAAAGGTGTACAAGTGTGGGTAACACTTGGGATGGGGAGGTGTTTGATTTTAAGAAAAGAAATAATTAAAACTGTTAAGTTTTTATAAAGGGAGGGGCCTGAGTTACAGGGGTTTTTATGGTGCCCTCCAAGGAATCAGGACCTGTTAAACAGGGGTATTTTTGATGTACCTGATGATCTGGTCCTTTGTGTAAAGGAGTATGCCCAGACAAAATGCCTACAACTGAAGTATCAAGGAAATATTACCTACTTAGTACTATTTCCAAGCCAAGGGGACTTCAGGTGGGTGAAAACTGGTCTGGGAGCGCTCAGAAAACTGGGTAATAGGTGTTGGAAGAGTGCTGTGGAAAAGTTGATGGTTGGGTTGGTGATATCCAAGACAGAAACAGCAGGAACTGGGCCAAAAAACAGGTGAAAAACTGGTTGTTGGAGGTGGTTATTGCTGGTAAGTGGTAATGAAGATGGGGAATCTGAGTTTGGGGGAAAGAAGGGCTCCTTATATACTCATTCTGGGCCCTTGGAGGCGAACTCAGAACTCTGTTTGGCTGGTGCAAGCCTCCTACTAGGCATTGGTGACCTGTGGCACTGCCTAGACACCTGTAGTCCTTGGTTACAGGTGGCAGAGGGCTGAAGTGAGGCTTGTAACACACAATAGGGGGTTCTGTGACGAACCTGCAGCCATTGTTTGGTCACTGAGACCTTTTAATGACCAGTGGGCTGGTCTTAACCAGGCGTAGTTAGCCAAATTGGGCCAAAAAGGGCCACAAATGGCTTTTGACCAGCCAGTTACAGTTGTTGTGACAATGTAGTTAAGGTTTCAATGATGTCAACCTTATTTGTGGATTTTTCCCGAACTGCATGAACCTTAATTACATTTGTAGACCTGTCACAACATGTAGTATGATGTAACTGGGAGGGTTTCTAGCAAAATGAACAAGTGTCACTCAGAGTACACAGAAGTACATGAAGGAGTAATAATTAAGGGGTACCTTTGGTGAGGTACCCTAGGTTATTTTGCATGAAAATTAAGAATCTGAAATAATATTCTAACTTTTGCTTAAGGTTTAGAAGTTATTTGTAGATTCATGTTAAAAATGTTTATTTATAAATGTTTTTGGTTTATTTTTATGTTTTCTTTCATGACTAGAAAACTTAATGTAATGAGTAATAATGTCTCTATATTATGTACATATAAAATAGTCATTAATTACATATGCTATGGGGGTAGTATATGTAATAATGTCTCTAAATATTTATTATGCTATGGTCAGGTTGTCTCTGAATAGTAGCAGGCTGACATTCCCTACCCCTAAGATGAGTTTCCTAATCATAGCAAATAAAATTATTAAAAATAGCTTTGACAAAGTGTAAAAAAGAAATTTTGGGTTTCAGGCACTTAACTCCTCTTAGAGGCTCTGTAATTCCTCAAGTGAATTGCTCCATCAGGTATATTAGATTCTGGTAACCACTCATCCTTATCTGCGGATTGGTTTTTACACCTGACTAAGTAAAGCCTGGTGTCTTTTCCTGATTCTTTCTTTCTTGTCTTTTAATATTTTAGATACATGAAGTTTCACATCTTTACTAGGTTCCATAATTGGGACTGGGGGACATGGCTTTGGCTCAGTATTTTCTCTAGGTGTGTAAGGTTTGACTAGGCTTACTGGAAATACGGGGTGTTTCCTGGAAAGTTCTTCACTCAAGATGACCTCTACAGCATTTTTTCCATGCATGTCTTTGATTGTAAATGGGCCTATGAAGGATGGCTTAAGTTTCTTATTACCCCCCCAAATTATTAAAATTTACTGTAGATAGTAGCACCTTATCCCCAATTTTAAAATCTGGTTGTTTATGGCTCTTATCCCATCTGTTCTTGTTATATTCCACTGCCTCTTCAACACATCTTTTAGCATGATTTTGAGTAACATCAAGCATCCTTTTGAAGTCTAGAGCAGTAGGGTGTATATGTGGTAACTTATCATTAAGGGTATCCTTTGGCATTCTTGGGATCCATCCTCTTTCAAGGACATATGGTACTTCATTTGAGGTTGAATGCTTACTGCTATTGTATGCAATTTCAAGAGCAGGTAATAAACTAACCCAATCATGAGTGTAGCCATCATGATTCTTGAACTCTAACCAAATGAACAGAATCTCCTGAGCATATCCTCCAAGGTTTGGATCATTCTTTCAGCCAGCCCATCAGTTTGAGGATGGTAGGCCGTGGAAAAGGCTAATTTAGTTCCTAGCATGTCATGTATATTTCTCCAAAATTCTGAAGTAAATTTGGGATCCCTATCACTGATGATAATTTTGGGAATTCCCACGTCAGCCATAATTCTGTTCCAAAACAACATGGCTACTTCCATTGCGGTGTCATCCTTATGATTTGGGATAAACCTGGCTCTCTTGGAGTACCTGTCTACTACCACTAGGACAGAGTTATAAGAGTAGGCTCCTCCAGGAGGTAATCCTGTGACAAAGTCCATATTAATTATTTCCCACTTAGTACTGGGTTCAGTAATTTTCTGGAGTAGCCCATATCTTTTCCCTGTTTGTTTGTTTGATTTCTGACAAATTTCACAAGACTTAACATAATTGGTAACTTGGGATCTCCAGTCTAACCACCAGGCAGTATGTTTTATCCTTTCCACTGTTCTATCTTCAGAAATGTGGCCAGAATTGACATTGTTGTGACATTCATACAGAATGTTGTCAATTTGTGCCTGGTCACAGAGTACTAAAACACTAGAGTGTCTATTTCTGTAGTACAGCAATCCATCCAATGAGGTGAATTTTCCTTCAGCATAAGGTTTTGCCAAATTAGGGGGCAGGCTAGCAATTAACTCAGGGGAACTATTTTCATTGCTTAAGATGTCAACTAATTTTAACAGTTCAATATTATCCTTATAGCTGTCTTGGACTAAGTTGTAAAAGGCTATATCCAAATCACACACGTGAATACCTAAAATTGGAAAAATGTCCTCATCTTCAGGATCCCAGGCTGGGTTATCAGGTGTGTTGGGCAAGGCCCATCTACTAAGCCCATCTGCATTTCTGTGTTTAATGCCAGCTTTGTGAACAATAGTCATATGTCCTCTATATTGTTGAATAGCAATTTGCCATCTGAGCATGTGTCTGTTAGGTGTTTTCATGTTCATGAGAGTTTTAACTGCTGTGCAATCAGTGACTACTACAACTTTGGTGCCTTTGAGGTAATGACTCTGATGGACCGATTTTATATTGGTCAGGCCCACGGCCCACCAATACATTAGAACAAAGGAAAAATGTATTGGTGGGCCTGGCCGATATAAAATTGGTGAAGGAGACCAATGTTATATCAGTCGCCATGGGGCAACGTTATCACGGGGGGTTGTAACCAATACAACCCCTTTCGCCGTGTTTCTTACACTGGCAAATCTAGAATATAGACAAGTCTGTAAGTGCTTCTCTTAAGTCGGTCACTGCTTGTTTCTTCATACCCTCTTATTCATGTATGCATGCATGTGTCAGAATAATATACCCCCCGGGTTTTAAATTTTTGTTGTTGTTGAATTGGTTTATACTCTGTGTTGAGATGGATCAACTCTTTTGTATATTCCTATCATTGAAACATACATCTAAGATTGATTTATGAAGAAAGAGAGAAATTAAACCAGAAACCAAAGGAATTCAATGTTTTTTCTTACTTTGTGGCTGTGTTTATATTCCGCATAACAACATATGGTTTTTTTAGTAAGGAATAATTTTTTTGGCCCTAAGTGGATAGAGTTGGATCAGAGTTAGAGGAAGAGATTTTTTGGCGCCAAGGAATGACAGAAGGATGACGATGAGTGAGAGGTAAAGGAGTATGAGAAGGTAATTTGATCCGGTCTGAGTATGGTTTAGGTTCTTTCCCATATCTAGGCTCATGGATCTCTGCAAAAATTCCGATTCCACATCCAAGAAAAACATTAGTTTTTCTTTTTTTTGAAAAGCCTTTTTAGAGAAGCAAGAGAGATAGGACAAACGTAGTTGGTCCCGATAGATTGAGCTAATAGCTTGAGCATCACGTTTATGCCATTGACTGATCCAGGCCATAACGCCCGCGGGTTTAAGACCGATTTGGGAACTGAATCGACGTAATGAGAACCCAGGTCGACCCAGGATGTCGGAATGCTCTTTCAAGTCGATCGGCCCGGTTTGTTCAAATAACATGATCGTGTAACGGTGCGTTCCTGACCCTTCTGCTGGATGTGGTCCTATGTATTTTATCTCTTCTTCTGATTCTTTCATTGTCTTCAAGTCTAAATCTTCATTTGTTGTTGCTGAAATAGACACATTCGCTCTGACGTTTTCATTTTTTTTTTTTGAATAATGGATATCGAAAATCATCTTAGCATGTTTGTCTGCTCTGTACATTATCTTTCATGCGATGACTTACCTAAGCCAATGCAGGAAAGTAGTGAATGAATGGTTTCGAGGGTCAGGTACATCTGCGGATGAAGATGTTAATGAGGATGCACATGAAGAAAAGGGTCAGTTTACGCATTACAGTCACGATTTGAAAAAGAGATGAGATGCAATGATAGATTTTCAGCGGACCTGGATCGACCATAACGAGGGTATAAAGTCTTGGCTCTGGATGGAAAACTTGGGCTTGAATCACCGGTGGGTCCATAGACTACATAAGAAGTTGATCGTCAGTCCAATCATCTTCTGATTCATTGTAGAATAGTGAAGAGCAATCGAAAAAAGTTTTTTTTTTTACTTTGGAACTGGGGACGAAATTTCCAACGTTGATTAACCGTTTCTCAGTCGATATATACGTATCTTCATACTTTACTTTTAGGTTGACTGTTGGATTTATTGATGGATATACATCTGGAAAGATCCTTAACTTATGAATCGTTTCCATCTTTTTTTTTCATAAGAATGAAAGCAGAAACAATCAATCCAAATTTTATCAAGTTTATCAAAAACATGTATGAGTCTGATGTTCAAAAAAAAAAAAAAGTTCTTACAAGACGGCCTAATTGGCCTTCTTTCCTCCACCGTTGTTGTTCCAAAAACCGATAAATAGGTTTAGACATATCGATCTGTTGACCGAGATGATGATTCTTCCGAACTTGAACATCATTAATCTCGCTCAATATTTCAAGCCGTTCGATCTCTTCTGGTTGTTGCTGAGAATCTGCCGAAGTTTGTTCTTCTTTCAATTTTTGTTGAAGTCGTTCGGAGTCTTCTTTAAGGAATTTGATTGATTCTTGGAATGCTTTTTGGATCGATGTAGAAGATGTAGAAGGTGATGATTGTTTCTTGGTTCCAGTTCCACGGACGACTGTGACATTTGGTTTGACTTGCTCATTAGTCGTTGTTGATAGGTAATGATTTTTTGGTTGCTTGTTGAAGCCGATCAGGATAGTCTTCGATTGGATCTGTTTGATCGGAATAATCGGTCGGGTCAGTCTTGAGGATCGATTGATCATCTCGTTCGTTGCTTGACTTGCTGCTTCTTTTCCTTCCGGGAACGACGAAGAAAGTAGATATTTGTGCTTGATCAAGCCGAAAATATAAATACCAGATGAATCAGAATCAGATGAACCTCGAAAGAAGTTAAATGGAGTAGAAAATGACTCACGTGGTTCCAACCAGTACTGAATGAAGTCGTTCCTCGAGGAAGTTGGCGAGTAACGGCCCTTCGACTCGAGTCACTTCGAATTCAAATTTACCCTATTCAATCAGCCAACCATCACATCAGGCCACAACACCCTCAAACAATAAAAACTGCGGGTGGAAAATTATTGTCTTCAGCCAGATAACTTGAAATTTCGTCAAGGATGATAGATTTCAGAGATCAGCAAGTGGAGTGTTAATGATCAGATGAGATCAACTTCTATAGATGAACATGATTCAGACTTGATATACTAACAACAATAAATCCTAAAGAAAGGGTGTAAAGAACTCCCAAGCTCTTGTGAGGATTCACAATTAGCCCATTGGAAAAAATCCTTATTATGAAGAATTTTGAGAACTTTGTTGCTTAGGACTTGCACAATTAAAGTTCAATGATTATATTGAACATCAAGATGCTGGTATTTCAATCCAGTATATTGCCTTAAATTACTAGCTTGATTCATGCTTTTTCAAGAAGCCCAAAAAGTTGCCACGTTCTTGGTATCACCATCAGGATCCAAAAAAGCCACTTTTTTTATTTATCAAGTCGTAGAGATAATGGTCCTAGTAGGACAGGTCACATCTAGAATTTTAGCTAGTTTGCTGATCAGCCATCAGCTTGCTGGTATTTAAAGAAGCAGTAAAATTGAGGAGAATATGTGGCCACATTGGCACTGAACTAGCAGATGGAACCAGGATGATCACAAATCTGGGCTGGAATATTCCCATATTTTACAGGAAAATAATAGCAACCAGAAACCAATTAGGAAGATTGTTTTGGTCAAGCTCTTAATTTTACAATAAAATTCTACTGAATCAGCAAAGCAGCTGATCAGAAGTTCAGAACATTACTGGCTAAAAAGCCAAACGTGAACTGCCCTACTCTAGTGAAATGATTTACTTCCAATGCAGCTGTGGAATGTAGCAATATAAGGTCCCATCACTCTGATGGGTGACTTCAATCAATTGGTCAAGACTCAAATGGTAGATCTAGTGCACATCTCTAGAATCTCCCGTTTTTTTGCTATTTATGTGATGCACAAAATGTGATATCATATCAAAACATAAAAACTGCTATTCTGGAAGGTAATAGTAGGGGTATGCATTTCATATTGATTTGTCAATTTCACTTGTTAATCTCGCTCAAAAAACTGGTGTTAACAAGGCTTGATTGAAGTGGTTACAATATAAGATGAAGATAAAAATAAATATCCGTGTCTCAACTTCCAACAAGCAGATCATCAATGTGGGCCTCTTCACAGCACAAAAAAGGGGCTAGCCTCAGGGGTTGAAGTTTCTTGTTGCCCATGTATGGATTTTTGCCAATTAATTTCACTGAGCAAGCTACCCCTAGTTGCACTCCAAAAAATTGTAACAAATGTGATTTGTTTTTTTTTTCCCGAAGACTCAATAATAATAAAAAAAGAAAAAGTAAATCTGGCGACTGCGACTTCATCCAGCCTTACGGTGGAATACAAGTGGCAGAAAAGGTTGCATTGTCGATTGAGACGAACTGGCCGGTATGAACGTTCTAGTCAATCAAAGTCGAATCAGCTTTGGAAAATCGTGGCTTTTTTCAAAAGACAAGACGGTAGTAATTGATCAAATGAGGTTTCATCACATACCCCTAATTCGTAATGAGTGAGACAGCATTGGTTGAGGATCTTGCCTGGAGCTTTGGTGTCTAGATTATCGCACGTAAATTGAATTCCGTCAACCCCTGGAGTCGTAACTACCCAATGATCAATAGCAACATCCAGAAAACAAGCGACCGAGTCAGCTAGCTCCAAGGGCTTTGATTTTTCCCTCATGAAGACAAACCACACGCGTGGAGGTGGAAGTTTACGAAATGAATTTCATACCGAAAATTTGTGTCGAGTCATCGTAGTCTCCAACATTTGAGATGAATTGGGCACATAATCCCTGAGCCTTATCGAGATTAGGACATTGGAAAGGTGATAGATCGCCACAAGTAGATGCTCCATGACGTATGATCACCATCAAGACGGGAAGAATCCTGATCAGTAACCGCATTGTGAAGATGTTGTTGTTGATGGCTTTGGAGGAATTGGTAAATGCAGACTGCAGTCACCCTCGATTTGTCTGGTCTACTGATGAGGGACAAGGAATATTTCATGCAGCAAGTGTGTTTTTGTTTGCCGATTTGACGTCCTCTGAGATCTTCTTCCGAATCTCAATGACAGTTCACCTCCTATATTTCCATCCTCGTATGTATCTCTGGAGATCTCTAGCATCACCAGAAACATGGACTACTTTCATGATCATTCATGGGTCTGAAGGTTTTCTAATCAAGCTCGTATTGTTGTGCATGTATTTCCTTTCCTGACAGTGGACAATGGCAATGGTTACTGGGACTACCGAAGTGGATTCAACACGGAGATAAGTGCTTCTACGTACGGGTGAGATCGCGTGGTGAAAAGACCATTGGGATTCAAGTCAGGCAACTCATCATGCTGATTCCAGAAGTTCAGGAGGACTCCTCATCTGCTCACCGACACTGTCTGACTCCGATACACCCATATTTATTTACATCGTACGTTATCAATTCATGATGAGTGTTGAGTGATGAACTGAATCATATTAATAGGGATTTCCATCACGTTGCTGCCTATTTCATTTCTATAAGCTTCAAGAAATCTTTCTCCATGTGATGCTTTCTTTCCATTGAAAATCAAGTCATGAATTTCATTGAAAAATTTGTGATGTTCCTTATCCTTTGCCTCCATGGTTTTTGGAAGCGGTCTAAAAACATAGGTCTTCATGTTTCTGATCATCACTTACTTGAAGTTAATACATATTTGGGAAAAAAGAAGCCGTCTGGACTCATGCCTTTTTTGTAGGTCCAGCAGGCTTTTGGTCCCCACTAGCAACAGCCAAAGGATTTAGAAAATTTGAGGAATGTGGGGCGGCTGTAAGGCAAAAACAAATGAAAAGTGGAAGGAGGAACCAACAGAAGTAGGAATGAATTCTTGTTTTTTTTTTTTTTTCAATTGGAACTATATTTTCTGACCTTGAGGACAATGTGGACCTCATGGGTCAAGGAACTTGATCGCTAGAAATGCCTTTCTTGTCTTATTTGATAGGACACATTGCCGGTAATGACTGAGTCCAATACTTCATACTGATAAGATCCCAAGAGCCTATGTAGATTTTTCTGCCCTCAAGGCTGTTAAGGGACTTCACAACAAATATAATCAATGTGTTTCTCTCAACCTCTAGTGACCAAAAATTCACAGTGCACTTTTTCTCATTTCTGCCCTGTCTTTCCCTCACCTGATTATTGAGGTCATCAGGTCATGAGACAATAATTTAAACAGGCATCAATCAGGATCAAATGGTTGGATGCTGAAAAAATGAATGATTCCTTCAAGCAAATGAACATTATATATTCATCATCATCATCATCCAAAACCAAAACCAAAAAAAAAGGTAAAAATAAAAAATGGAGCAAACACAAAGAAAATAGACTTTTCTTTAAGTATATGTATATTGACACAAGTTTTGGAATTGTGAATTTTGATTTGTATTTTCTAGTATTGAGAGCTTGCTTTTTTGGGGAGAGAGAGAGAAACTATAAGATTTGAGAAGAAGGGGGCTTATAAGGGTTGACCAGCATCTTTGAAAAACTATCAGTCATGTAAGTAATCAAGAGAAAAGCAAAGATCATCACTCAGTCATCAAGATCTCAAGAAACTGGATTTTTTATAATGAAAAGAGGGGGGGGGGAGAATAAGGGAGTACAAACCTTTTGATTTTTTCACCGCCTCGTACTTCTTCAGTCAGTAAGGGCATCTTGACAATGTGAAAGTCTTCGATATAAAGATCATTGATTTCTCTCAAATACTTCCTTTCTACACACACACAAATGCACAATTGAAGAAGAGGGAAAGAGAAGTCAGTCTGGTGGAGATTTCTAACGGATTTGATGAGATGAGACAGGAGAAGTGAGAAAAACAAACGCATTTTGTATCGAGTGTTACATTGATCGCAGTCGCTGTTAGCTTTGGGGAATAGGAGTTGGTTGACGACGATGCAGTGGGTGTCGATCTCGTATTGGGTCAACTCTTGAATCAACCTTTCGGTCTCATAAAGCGACAAGAACTCGGAGATGCAGACGCAGATGAATGTCGTTAGGTCCTGAAGAACACATAAATCCGAACAAAAAAAGGTTCAGTTAATCCAATGAATTGAAAAAGGGGATTGAGAATCAAAGTGGAAAGAAACAGATAACAACGGACAGGGTCTTTGAATTGATTATTGACTTCAGTGATCACGGCTCGCATATCTTCAAGTTTTCCGAACATGTCCTCCGTGTTAGTATTGACGCCCATCATCGAGCCGAATTGTTGCATCATCGGCCCGAAGCGACCGCCCAGGGTGGACAGTTTCCCCAGCGCCTTCTCTAGCACCGCCGGGAAGGATAGAAATCGGAGCGTGTGGCCCGTGGGTGCTGTGTCGAATACTATCACTGAATATTTCATCGATTTCACGTGTCTTGAATCATTCGGTCAGTTTTTTTTTTCCTTTCTCCATTTTTCAGAACTTGGGAAGAATGAAAGGAGGAAAGGTTTTTGTTTGGGTTGGTGACTTACTTCATGATTTCGGCAAACCCCATTGCTTCGTCTACTCCAGGAATAGCAAATGCTAAGTCTTGCATCATCCCACCCATTCCACCACCCCCCTGAGATTCAGCTACCCTCCCCCCAAAAAAACAATTTCCTGAATGTTAGATTATACATTCTCATCCATGATCAAGATGAAAAGATAGGAGATATTCACATTGTTCAACCATCTCTTGTAAGCTAGAATTCGGATCGATTTCCATGGCATACAAGTTCTCGAATCCGTTGACTAATGTCGCATCTTTCCCGAACTTTTGGCAGAATGCATCCGATAGATTGTGGGCCGGATCGGTGGATATCAGCAGGACTGATTCTCGACAGGAGGCTAGTTGGACCGCTAATGAACACGATGTCGTCGTCTTTCCTGTATTCATTTGTTTCATTCATCATTTTTTTCAGCTTTCCGTTTTTTTTGGATTCATGGAATTTTTGCGTAGATATCGATGTTAATTTTTTGGGTGTTTGGACGTACCTACTCCTCCCTTCCCACCTTCATCGTCATCAAAAAAAAAGAAAAGTTGATTGAAAGTTTGGCAAGTCGAAGAAATGATGTGAGTGTGACTTCTTCAGGTTACAATAGAAAGATTTTTTTTTAAAAAAAAGGGACGTTACCGCAAAAGATCCATTTCAAGGCTGTTAAATGGAACGATGCATACAAGTCAGCACTCAGAAATCAAAGCGTTTAATTTAGGTTTTCTCGGTGGTGCCTACATTTTTGATCGAGAATGTTTTGGAGCGATGGTTCGAGAGCAGGGACTTCATCGTCAGCCATGGTTGGTTTGCCTTTTGAGTTGGAATGTGTTGTTTGTGTGTAGTTTTGTTTGTGGTGGTTCTGGCTGCCTGACTCTGAGCTGACACGTCGATTATGTTTTGTTGAGTAGATAAACTATTACATAAACCTGTTCTCATCGCCACCCGACGTACCCCTGAGGCAACAAAGCCTCCCAGGACCGGGGGGGTGCAGAGCACCCTGCGGAGCGCGCCCGCCTGGCAATACCAGACCCTCCGAGTGGGGCTTGTGTTAAGTCAGACGTTGTACCCCAACCACAAACTTGCGCCTCACAGTCTCGGTAGCAAACACGACACGCCCGCCGTACTTTGGTTCATGCCTTCGAGCTCGAGTCCTCTCGAGTCCGACCCCCTGAACAATCAGAAATGCGCACCTCCCTAATGACCGCGACGACCTTGACGATATTCCTCCTATTCACAGCAGCCATCTCAGCCCTCATACTCTGTCCCAACTGTGGATCCGGAACGGTCCTGCAAAGCCAGATCATGCATTGTCGAATCGAGCAAGTCTGTCGAATGGGAGTGTCCCATGGTCCTTGCCCCGGAACGAAGCTGCAAGCCTGGAGGAAGTGCACCTACTGTCCTTGGAGCCTTCCGCTGATGGGTTACTACAAATGCGACCTCATCCATAACATCGATCACTGCTACAAACAACATCCAAAGAGGAGAAAGTTATACAGCCCCCCTCAACAGGAGACTACTACTACAACCCCCCCTCCACCAATAACAACAACAATAGACTCTAGTAGTGTAGCTGTGTGACAGACTTCCCATTCGTGTAGGACACTTAAAACTGCCTGTTCTCACTACCGTGTAGCCCAGTTACAATCATCATTTAAAAAAGACACTCTTTCTTGCTTAGCATACAACCACTCATTCAAACTTACATAATACACACAACTTTAATATCTTATCACTCAAGACTCAATTACTTTGTCTGAAGGTTTTTTTTTGCATTGTGGATAAAACAAATTTGGTACACATGGCATGAGCAATAATCAGACCTATACCACAATAGCATGTTTCATGATTGGATTTATGCATGCCCACTTTGCTTGTTACTTGTGCTGAGTGCTAAATCCTAGCTTAAAATTAACAGCATCTAAACCAAGGCAAACCACTTCAGCAAGCACCACAGGTTGCCAAAGAGCTTGTTTGATCCACTCATATAATCATGGAGCTCTGTGAACTCTCTTGAAGGGAGGTGTGGAAGTATTCTTTGTAAGAAATTTTAATGTGTTTGTTATGTCACACCACAATCAAGCCTGGATTGAATGGAGAGGGGATGAAATATATATTGGATTACTTCCATATGAATATCTATGTTTTTTTTTTTTGATAATAAGGGTGTTGAATTAGCCCATCCACCACATAACCTTGGAGGAGAAAAATGTACAGTGCCCTCCCAGAAGTATATAGCACCCCATTTAGCTCATTTAAAAAAAGATTGTGCAATCTCAGATTCCAAGGTTTTGCACACTGGTGGGCAGTGAGATGATAAAACAGAATATGGGACAAAAAAAAGCAAAAATTGATTCCATCATGTTTTAAAAAAATGAAATCAAAATGTTTTTTTTTAAAAATAGTTTGAAAAATACAAAAAAATATGGAAGCGGTAGCTGAGAGGCCAGGAATGATGATTATGAAAAAAATTGAAAAATGTGAAAACTGAATTAATAATCTCAAGATTTGGTTGGGCCATCATCAGCCTGACAGTCACATTTTGACTGAGTGCACAGGCTGGAAAACCTGGCAATTAACTGAGACCACCGACCTTGCAAAGACCCCCAACCTCGCAACTGACCCCACTGCATCACTCCTTACGGATAGTGCTACAACCGGCACTGGAATTGAGTGACCCACTTGACTTGATGGGTGTAGTGAGTATTTGTTGTGTTTCTTTTCCTCCAAAGATAACAAACTGATTGTTTTTTGATTGTTTTGCTTTTTTCATTTTTCTTGGTGACCAACCAGGATTCCAACACCCAACAACACTGGAATCGAGTGACCAACTCAACTCAACAAGTATGGTGAGTGAGGATCCAAGTGTGTCGAGGATGTTTTGTGTCTTTGCCTCAGAAGATTTTGAACTGAGAACTGATTGCTTTTTCTTTTTTCTTTTTTTTGGTGACCAGGATTCCTAGATCTCAGCAGCGTGATGGGTCGTACACGTGGTCAACCAAACCTCACAACCAAGAAAAAAGCTTGGGTGGCTGGGATGGTCAACACTGGCATGTTGCATACCAATGCCGCTAAGGTCAATTATTAATTCAGTTTGCACTTTTTTCAAATATTTGTTCATAATCATCATTCCTGGCCTCTCAGCTACCCCTTCCATATTTTTTTGTATTTTTAAAACAATTATAAAAAAAACACATTTTAATTTCATTTTTTTAAAACATGATGGAATCAATTTTTGCTTTTTTTGTTCCATATTCTGTTTTATCATCTCACTGCCCACCAGTGTGCAAAACCTTGGAATCTGAGATTGCACAATCTTTTTTTAAATGAACTAAATGGGGTTCTATATACTTCTGGGAGGGCACTGTACATTGGAAAGTTTGCATTGTGAACATTGTTTGGAATCTTTGGTTTGTTCCTTCAGACATATTGGGTCTCTGACCATGTTTTGTTGTATATATGAGACACTCAAATGACATTGAGACTAATTGTATAATTGGATCTTCATCACAATTCACAGTCTTTCACAGACTACAGAGAATCTTCTTTATTACTCTTCTCCAATAATATAGTAGTTATATATTGAGAAATAGCTTGAATTGGAGGATTCTAATTCACCTGATATGAGTCGGAGGGAACCTTATTGCCTACCCTGGTTGATGCCAAATGGAAATTCAGTGAGAGTGTGTCAAATAATCCTGCTGATGCAGGACCTCAGACCAACTTCAGTGGGCCAAAAGGCTCTTTTGGCCTCTAGCAAAGATGCTGAGCAAGCTCGTTAACATTTCAGGGGTGGAACAAATCTGCCCTTGGCTGCTGAGTTTAACAGTGTTTCAACCAACCCACCCAACCGGGGGTTGATAAGCGCACGCCAACCCCCATGGCGCACGCCAATCTGCACGCCATTGCAGAATGGCGTGCAGATTGGCGTGCGCCATGGGGGTTGGCGTGCGCTTATCAACCCCCGGTTGGGTGGGTTGGTTGAAACACTGTTAAACTCAGCAGCCAAGGGCAGATTTGTTCCACCCCTGAAATGTTAACGAGCTTGCTCAGCATCCTTGCTAGAGGCCCAAAAGAGCCTTTTGGCCACTGAAGTGGTCTGAGGTCCTGCATCAGCAGGATTATTTGACACACCTCCTGATTTCATTTGGCATCACCAGGGAAGGCATCAGTTCCCTCCGATCATATCAGGGATTAGAATCCTCCATTCAAGCTATTCTCATATATACCACATAATATGGAGAAGAGGAAAAAAGAAGATCTCCGTGTTTGTGAAACTGTGATTGGGAATCC